CTTTTGTTGTTTACAAGAACAATTTGAGAACTTCATCATGCTGCACATCTCTTAGTTATGTTCTGAAATTGTTGCCTGTGCAGTTTTTCTGCAGTATGTCCAAACACTGATAGATTAGGCTCAATAATGCAGAAAGTGTAATGTGGTTCTGTTGAGTAACTTTGGTGTGTTGTTGAGCCTCGTTAATTCTTTTAGCCTCTGTGCTCAGAAGTTGTGTGTGATGTATAAAGGCAGATACTTCACTCACTTGTCAGAGTTTAATTCGCAGCATTAGGGTATTCAGACAGGCTTGGGACTCTTGTGATTTCTCAACGTCCTATTTACAATTATTCAATTTCTGGATGAGTTTATAATTCTCACCCTCGCTCAGCTACTGCTCAGAGCAGAAATGCCCTGTTGATTCAGTGTTTACTATGTAGGCTAAGAGCAGAGGCAGGCCAGTAGTAGCATGAAGGAGCAGGCCTCTTGAATAAATAAAGCCTGACAGAGCAGCGTGTAGTAGTGGAACTGTATCCATGTCGACCCCCGAAAATGTAGGTTACACTGTTATATAATAGGCTGCAGACAATTTACATCTTCGTGCTTCGGGTTTTACATGTGCTGTTACAATAGGAGTTTGTTTGTGCGGGCTATTCACGGTGTGTGTTTAATCCTGCAGGTGAGAAGCCGTTTAAGTGTGAATTTGATGGCTGTGACAGACGCTTCGCCAACAGCAGCGACAGGAAAAAGCACATGCATGTGCACACATCAGACAAGCCATACATCTGCAAAGTGTGCGACAAGTCATACACACACCCCAGCTCTCTCAGGAAACACATGAAGGTAATTAACGTCTTCATTACTCCTTAAACACATTAACACACACACACACACACACACACACACACACACACACACACACACACACACACGCGCGCGCACACACACGCACACACATCTCCTTTCTCCTCTTCCACAGACAGGGACTATCACAACTTCAGGTATTTCTTAAGCACTGATGTAACAGTCATACTACGAAAAAAATATCATGTTAGATGTAATTTAGTCTGAGTGACACTTCACCACTTGTTTAATTAAACAATTGAAATAGTGAGTGAGTTGGGAATATTTCACTTGTCTGTCATTCTTTGAGACCAGATTTATTTGTTTGATAAAAAATAACCTGCTTTCAAGACAAGTGTTGCAATTATCTCTCTCTATTTATATATTTTTTATTTATTATACACTAACTTTAAGTAACACTACATTTTAAGACGTGTTTTTTTTCAGTGTAGAAGTTGCCGTGTCTGTTTCAAGTTTGCTGTGTGTTTACTGTTATAGTTGTCCTATAAAATCCGGAGTTAATCCTCATTTAACTCCAACACCCTTCTACAAGCTACTTGAAATGCACTGTTAGTGTATGAATGGATATTATAGGCTACATCAGTCTCAGTAACTCGCAGCTCATATCCTGATTTTTTTTTTTTTTTTTTTTTCAGGTACATGAGTCTCAAGGATCTGAATCGTCTCCAGCAGCAAGCTCTGGATACGAGTCGTCCACACCGCCAGTACTGGTCTCAGCCAGCACCGAAGACCCGACAAAAACACCGCCGTCAGCCGTACAAAACACGTCTGGCCACAGCGAAGGACTGGCACCCAACTTTAATGAATGGTACGTTTGAAGTCAGAGGAACAAACCCTCCCTCAATGTGGACCACGGGGTTGAGGATAAATGAGGATAAAAACCTTAAAAACTATTCCTGTTCACTTCACACACACACACACACAGCACACACAGACAGTGACATACACACATAAACATACAGACACACACACACACTCTGTCAGACACACACAAGTGGGATTGGGACAACAACAACAGCAACAGCAACAACAACAACAACAACAACAACAGGAGATGAGAGCAAAAGCCAGCACCAAGCAGGCCACGTCCGTTCTCAGGATCACGAAATTTGACTTTTATTCCGCAGTTTTGAGGAAATCAAATAAATCACAAATAAATAAACGTAATACTTTCTCAGTATAAATAAATGTTTTTTTATCTTTTAGTTTACAGATTTCAGAAAAAAATGTTTTATTTTTCATTTTATGTATTTTCTCAAATTTTTATTTAAAAAAAAAGAATAAAAAAGGAAGATTATTTCATGCTGTTTTATATGAGGGTGACACGCTACTGTCGCCTCTTCAATTGATTGTTGGAACTTCAAACAGTCTTAAGAAACGTGCCAAAGTCTTTGTCATGAACTTGAACACAGAAAAAAAAAAATCATAAATAAATATTATACTCGTGAATGTATTTCCTTGTTTGATGGGGTCGAATCTGTTGTCAACGTCCGTTTTCAGGTGGAGAAATGTGGTATTAGGTTACGATTGTTACCGTTGAATATAACGTTGCCTTTTGTTAATACCGTTGTAAATACATATCCATGATGCCATATTTATCAATTTGTAATTTAATTATGGGTATAAGTTCTGAAACTTAAATGATATTTATGGAAATGTTTTCTAACAAGAACTGTACAGTTTTGGTCATAACCAGCTTAACATTGAACAAATGATAAACTCTAAAGCGCCAACATCGCGATTGTATCCTTCTGTTTTTTCTTTTTAACCAATAGGCCTACATGTGTCTTATTTGGATCGAAGAAATCATCTATATGAATATTATGGATTTGTCTATATATAATGCAGATATTTCCGTCACTTTTATTTTGTTTATGAGACCATTGACATGTAAATCATTGACTTTGTAGAACTGAGTTCAGTTGAGCTGAGAAGCTATAAAACGGTTCTGTTGATATCTTTATTTTTGGTTAAATTTAAACTTTTTGTGTATTTTACTTTTATAGAATCAGAAATAGATGTCAATTCGTAGCATAAACTCAGTATTGGAAAGAAAAAAAAAAGAAAAAACCCATCAGCCTATTGCACTCCTATACAGGTCTTAGACGAGTGTGCGAAGTTCATGATTTCCAAATCAAGGTGACAGTATTTTGAGTATTTCAAATTCGGGTCAAGCACCCAGATATATGCGCCAGTATGGCAATCTTTATAGTTCCAGCAATGTCTTTGTGCAAGTATGTTTAAATGTGTGCATCGGCAACAATGGAACTGTCACAACACAGTATCTTCAAAAATAAAAAAAGTTTTTTGTCTGTCAGCTTGCATTGTTTTAAATGTAATTCTTCTGTGAAACTAAGCGTGTTATTTGTTGTGGTGTTGCATATAGAGCAGTTTGATTACACATTTGCTTGTTTTGTGTGAATAACTTGTCAAGATGACATTTTTTGTGTTTAACAAAATTTAGTGGAGGGGATTCTAGATCTTATGTGGGTTGGGGGAGAATACGTTCAGTGGTTAAAAAAAAAAGAAAAAAAAAGAGTTACAGCATTGCATTGTAACCTATTCTCAAGAATTAAATATTATGCATAAACAAAGTATATTGTACTCATATGAGAACAATTTCAGACCACCAGCACTACTTTTAAAATAAAATGTAAAAAACGGTACCTCGTGACAGTGATATATGAAATAAGTTTATTTAAATAATTTAAGGAATATATGTTTTATATGCTATTTTCTATACCTTAATTTAAAAAAAAGTACTTTTTCTTATTCCCACCACCTTTCTGCCCCATGTCCAGAGGTCAGAGAAAAATATCTGATGTATAAACACAGCTAGAATGTGATGTTGTAACACTTTCTGGGAGAAATGGGTCACACTCCAAGTTATTCCTGAAGAGCAAAAATGTTTTACTGATGAACTGTGTCACTGTGCCACATTGAGGCAAACCATGTTACAACAAGCAGGCCTATGCGTTAGCCTATTTAGCTGCCAGAGGCAAAGGTTCCTTGTACTTTTTAGGCTACTGTATGTTGGTTGATTTGTTTTACCAACTATTTATGAAGAAATGTGAACGGAAAACTTTGACTGAAATTAAAAAAAACATGATGAAAAGCGACTCTCAGACTGCGACGTTGATTATTATGATTACCATGTTGTTCTGCTCCCTGCATCTTTACGCATGAAGCCGACACTGTTTGTCATGGTGTTTGTATCAGACTTGTAGGAGTCACTTGAACTTGACACTGATTAAGGCGCCATCTTAGTATCTTGGCTGTGTGCGTGCGTGTGTGTGTGTGTGTGTGTGTGTGTGTGTGTGTGTGTGTGTGTGTGTATTAGTGTGTGTGTGTGTGTATTAGTGTGTGTGTGAATGGGAATACTAGTGGAGGGAGGGTGTGGGGTGGATGGGGGGGGTTAGATGGGGAGGTGGGTCATCAGTCCATGGCTAAAAAAAAGTTGCACAGGCAAAGTTTTTTTTTTTTAAGCTCATTTAAAAAAACGAGCGCTTACAGATAATAAAGCTAACGTGCAGACTAGAAGACGGGCAACTGAGGACACTGTGTGACCGTGAATGTAGAGGGGGGATACGTTGCCAAAAGTGGCGCTGCCTCAGCGTCTCCCACTACCCGATTAACAAGGAACCGCTTCATAAAAACAACCAAAGGAGTTACCACACATCAATGGACGCCATAATAAGCATTTAAACGGCGAAAAAAATCAGCCTGAATCACAACAGCCGCTCATGCACAGGCCTGAAATCTCCAATATTATACAGTATCATTTACCCAGTGTTTCAGAAAACTATATCTGGTTAAATGCAGAGAAAACAACAAAATGAGCATAGTGTGTTATTTGACAGACTGCTATAAAATGAAGACATTACTGTTTTACTTCCCACTGGAGTCTAAACCAGGAGTATTTATACCCCCCAACCCCCCACCCCACAAGGTGCTTGAAATCCCCCACAACCCCCCAAATATCCTTCAACTATAAACAGATTTAGGAATATTGATTCAAATTCTGTTTCTGACTTTTGCGCAAGCGCACCCTTCGCATTCCGTTTGATTTCATTTCTCTTCACCCCCACCTTCCCCCTTTCCCCTGCTTTCCTCCCCCATCCCACCCTCCTCCTCCTCCTCCTCCTCCCCCTCCCTTCCTCCATGCTCCCGGCTCGTCTAGTCGCACTTTTCAAGTTCCTCCTCTCAGACACCGTGACGTCAAATAACCGAGACCCGGCTCTCTCCGAAGCACGGCGGGTACACATGGAGGCTGCATATTTTTTACGCAAGCATCTGGGATGTGCTAAACTGAAAGGTGTCTGCGCTCTGACCTGCAGCGGCTGATCATCATGAGGAAAGACGCACAGCATGATAGTGAAATAAATCAAACTTTAACGTATTTATATCTGCCCCCCCCCCTCCCCTGCCATTACATTAGGTTGATATGGATTTAGGTTATTACTGTCATCTTAAACCGGGTGGGACAACTGTAATTCTGCAAATAGGATTTCTGACTTTTAGGTATGTTTATACCCTCCACCGGGAATAGCCCGTAGTTATTGCTTCTGCATGTGCTTTATGCCGACGCCCAATACAAGTCATCGTTTCTATGAGAAACCAGAGCGGGCGATTTGATCCAGAAGAGAAAAAAAAAATCATGAAAGGCTCCTTTCTGGTGGATTCTCAATGGATTAGAAAGCAGTGACGGTCACGTGGATGCAGTTGTGTAAAGACTAGCGGCTGTATCACAACAATGCCCCTCTGCAGCAGACTACAACTGGCTCTGAATTACGTTCGCGCTCATTCATCTCCAGTATCTTATGGATTGCTATACTGAGCTGCGGTGTGGACGCAGAGGATGGCAGCTGACTGTTGGCAGCGCGCAGTAGCCTATAATCTCTCTCTGCCTATAGAGTCTGCTACTATCCGGAGGAGGAAGGGAGCGGAGGCTGCAGGGTTTGTATATTCTGCGGGGGGGGAAAAAACAGAGTTGTAGCTCGTGCCTGTAGCTGAAGTTTGATATCGGATTGATTGGGCAGCCCCAACCCCTCTACCTTCCTCTCCGTCGTCTCACTGGCAGAGTATTTGCTGGCTAAGCGGGAGTGCGCGCTCTAAGAGGATAAACCGACACAAGCAGGTCCCCAACGCCTTTTGTCACGCAACCGAGGCGGCGATCAAAAAAACCCAGTGGCTAATTTATCATTCATTAATAATTTAGTAATTATTAAATGCAACATGAACAGACTTTACCTCTGTGAATTCAAAAGGACTCCAGTGTTTAAAAGCTGTAACTGCACATAAGACAGCCTGTTCACTCACATTCGAGGCTTTTATTTGGCACTGTCGACGCTGTACAGTGAGTGAGGCTGCGCAGGGTGCAGTCTTGCTCAAGGGCACTTAAGAAGGGAACTTGACCCCTGATCTGAATCTGAGACGTTTTGCATAAGGGGCATCCCTTGCACATCAGCACAAGACCAATACTGGTACCTGCAACACGCCGGGGTTCAGATTCCCTTCCTTTTCTGCTTTTAATAGACAAGAAGCTGCCAAAAACTGAATCATCATGAATTAATCCAGTCATCTAGCGATGTGTGTGGAGGCTTTATCTTTCCTCATATAGCAACAGAAGTTAACACAGTGGATTACTGTAGAAATATATAGGACAGTCGTTTCTGTAATCAAGGCATTAAGGATATTTTGTCACTAAACGCACCATGACAATTAGACTGAAGTGAGATGGATTTGTAACATCATAAGGGAAAACATGGCTTGATAAACAACTAATTGCATAAAAGCTAACATACATCTGATAATTGCTTAGCGAGGGCTTCCATTTGCGCGGAAGTTGATGTGCTCGCCAATTATCGATGCTTATTTCACCTCCAGCAGGGTGTTGAATATGCATTCACAAAGTACCTTAATCCACGGTT